GTGGGATTTATAATCATGATTTATCTTATTGCGCCCAGAAAAGAAATATCCTGAAAACAGTCTGTCCTGTCTTGCTGGCCAAGTTTGCTATACACCCTATTGACACTATAAACGTAGCGTAAAGTGGGAAGCCTGAGCTGCCCAGGACCCTCACGACTAGGACTCAAATAAACACAAGAGAAGTTAAAAATGCAGTGTAGATAGGAAAATAAAGCCATTTTGGATAAAAGGCGTTGATAAACTCGTGAAAAGAGTCAAGTCCTTCCACCAAGTGGTCTTCTCTCTTTTCGAAATACTGTATTACCTGCCCTTTGACCTCTTTGTAAAACACATTGCTACGATGGTTGCAAAACTAAACTAATTATCCCTTGAGGCCGGATAGATACTTAAATCTTTTGTCGTGTTTAGTATGAACGCCAAAACGAAAGGATTTAATGGCATTAATTAGTGCCAGAATAGCCAAATAAAAAAAGAAGGATAGCATAAAAATTAGCCTGGCAGATTCTGGGAAAAGCAAATTTTGGAGGTAGTAGATTGAAGGGTAAATAGGATAAAGAGTGTCTATGCACTCGTTCGTGTGTGTGCTTGCTCTGCCAGTTTCGCAATAGGAGCCTGGAAAAGTGAAGCATTGCTCTTACAAAATCAGGATAGAAAATGTCGATAGAGGAGAAAGGCACTTTAAACAAATTTAGTCTGAAATTTGTATACAAATGTAAGATATTATGCAATCGGATTAAGTGCTAATGAAGGCGTAAAAAAAGGAGGTAGCAAATGAAATTGGAGCAAAATTTTTCTGTGGAAGAACGATGGGTAACTTTGGTCTAGATGAAGCGTTTCTGGAAAAGCGAAAATAAAAAAACAAGCATGTAACCTTTACTAAGAGATTAAATAGAGATGATAGAGACTAAAACACAAGAATATCGAAAATATATGCCCCAAAGGTCATTATAAATTACATCAGTTGACCCAATAGGTCTTCAAACACGAAAGACAAACATGTAGAAGGGGTTTTGAAGCCATTACATATGACTGGAAGAAAATGCCTCGCTTCGAAGCGTGAGATTCCATTATAAGTACAATTGTGGAAAACTGTCAATTTCATATAGGAAATGTTTAAGAGAATCGAGTCTCCAGTCCAGAGGTACTCTAATTTGTAGCTTAATTTAATAACCAAGCAAGGTTATCTTATATCTTCTTGGACTCTATGTCTTGGATATCAGAAAAAGAAGCTTGTGAAGACTAACAAGGTGAGATGAGTAAATGTCTAAAACAAGCAAAACAACCCGAACAAAAAACAGAGGCTTATGTTACGCAATTAAAATACAGCTGTTAAAAACAGCCTCACTATGAACAGCTTATCTTGTCAGATTCCCGATGACAATTACCAACGTTTTTCTAACGCAATTCGTGACCATTATGTATAAAAATACTCTCTTCAAAGATTTAATTTTGAGTTGGAGACAGCATTATCCATGTTCTGGCCCATGGGTTATACCGAATTTTAGAAAACTGTTGGAAGCTCCTGTGTTGAGGAGAAGACAAACTCGAGTAGCAAAGCCACTACTTTTGAGTTTACCAGATTATCAAGTCTAAGTGTCTGTCGAGATTGCAAATCGCATCAAAAATGATGTTCATAGCGAAGCAAAAAAACCAGCTCTTCCTGGAAGCGTTCTCCGAGTCACGTCAGTCAAGTGAAGAACCTAAGCCCTGAAGATTGAGTACATGGGGTTCATTTTCATAGATCCCTTTATGGCCCCGAGTCAAGCTTTTCATCGTAATTTATTAGTTTGAGAATATTGAAGTTATAGATAAATAGAAGTCACTTTTATCTAAATGGGGCGTCTAAGCGTGGAGAGAGGCTGTCGGCTAGAGTTCTTTAGCTTAATTGAAGATATGAAAAAAAACTGGGTTTCGAAGAATTCCTTAGTTGCAAATTGTGACATGACTCGCCATTTCAAAGGAAAAGTTGGTAAGAAGGAGTTAGTGATGTGGTCTCACCGGAAACCGAAGGAGGATTGCTGCGTAGGGAAGACTTTAATTGTGCGAAAAAGTCCTCGGCTCACCGTCCTGCGACTCTGATAAAACTATGCTAACTTTCGTCTGTACTGTGACAGATATAATCAGAACAGGTATCGCTACTTCATGAAATAGAGCAAAAATATACTAAATCAGGAGAAAAGGTGACCGAATGCAACCATAGTCGCTTTTATATACAGATAACTTCGCAACTCATGATTTGGTTGGCTATTTCAACCTTACTTTACATGCTTGCAAATGGGTGAAGTGAGTTCGATGGCAGCTGTTTTCTTACACAAATAAACTTGTACACGATCCTCCAATGTTGATTCATGTTTGGATTGGTGCTTTTGTCTATTGTGTGTATGTAATGTTTCATGTCATGGGAAGTGTGACAGTTATAGCTAGACTCGAGGCTAATAAAGCCCCCTTCCTTTGTTCAGTGGCTCTTTCTGCACTCCCACACTCTCCCTCTCTTTGAGTCTATCAAACAGCCACATATAGTCCCTACTCAATTTCCTACACACGTTCTCCCTATTCGGGACGTTAGCTGTTTTGTCAATTTCTATAGACAACATAATCTTACGCTTCGATGTGAAGTCCCGTAACCCGCAAAACGTTGTGTTTTGGTCAAGTCTGATAAGTAAGACCACATCACGAATTCTTTCCTACCAACTTTCCTTTCGAAATGGAGAGTCATGCCACAATTTAAGTTCATTGCCCAGATTGTAAAACTATCCATATCCCCTCTTCAACAATTTACAATTCAAATAATTTAGCTAATAAGAGTAGAGGAGAGCGAGAATCGTACTTAATTTTTGCGATTTCGAGATTCCCGTCTGCATCAATTAAATGACCGTAATGGTGCGTCCAAAGTAGAAATCTACGGCCTCGACATTCTTACAGGTCACCAGAGCTATTTAGGCCTAATGAGCAAACAGGGCATAAATCAAGCGAAACTCTCAAATGACAAACTTTATGCATTTGGTTTTTTGCCATAGTTTCCAGCCATAGATGAGAATCGAGGAGAAGAGAGGAAAAAGGTAGAGGGAGTGATCAAGGCTTAATGCCCACCAAATTAAATTAGATAACGGCCAAGCAAGACTTTTCACCATTCATATTTTACTCTGGAAATTAGGATCAACCGGACAAAATGGATCGGGTAATAAGTTTAGACAACGAAGAAAGTGATGGATGCCTAGAGGAGAAATCAATTGGGCTATTCGGTAAAGACATAGCACAAATCAAGGCGGCCAGCGCAAATGAAGGAAGTACGTCCAAGACGATTTTTCTCCCCTCATCGACCATGCAGCCGTAATAAGCCGAACAGAGGCGACTCACTTTTCCTACGTTGGCAAGCCTATTATGAGGTCGAACTCAAAAAAGCTGATATAACACGACAGGGCATAAAATATGGTGTAATCATGTGAGTGATTGGTGGTTTAGCCAGCCCAGGCAACTAGCAAAGTTATAAGACACGATCGAAATATGCAGAATTGGGACAAGGTAGGCAATAACAAAAAATTGGATAGGAAGAACAAAAATTAAAATAAAACAACTAAAAGTATTATAAAAAGGTAGATTTGAGGCATAATGGAACTGAGTAATTAAACAGAAATTGTAGTCATATCTAGCATCTTCTCGATTCAAAAATGAGCTCCTGGAAAGAAAAATGTATAAACTTGTTTTTCACCCATTCCGACCTCGCCAGCTAGCAGGATGCGCTTAGTTGAATGCATTTGCGGGTGCGTATAGTGGCAAAGCTGAATCTCTTGATAACTTATAGTCAAAAACACCTTAGGAAAGCAGTTAAGGTTATATGAGTTGTGTTCACCCCATTTCGTTTAAGGTGATGAAGGACTGGTAGTTGGTTTTTCCTACGATGGTATGAGTAAAGCTGATGTTTCCAATGAATTTCACATAGCCATGCTTTCCCAAAGGTGTTATCATTCAGGGTGGACTGCAGTTTCGATCTCGCATAGGTCTTATCAATACCCCAAGCGGGAGTCAAACAATGACAGTCCACCGTGTAAGCTCGACACGTTAGCCACTAGGCCAAATTACCACAAGAGCAATTGGGTTACAGGGCAGATGTGAATTTCAAGGAATTTCAGGCATTTTCCAAATCACATCCTCTGTTGGGATTGTCGATGAAGCAAACTTATATTTGCTCTACTTAGGGCGGATAAACGAAAAGCCATTGCACTTGTTCGTTGTCTTGGCGAAATTGCTATTCGGCTGTAATATCCCAGAAATGCAATAACCTCTGCGTGGAAAAGACCGAAGAAGATAGCTAGTCCTTTATTTATGTGAGTGCTGATGAGTTCATAAACGGAATATACATACGTTTTTCGTTTATAAGTAGGGTTTCGAGACTATGAGTAGTCGCCCGCTCGCATGTGAAAACGAGAATATACCTTCACACAGCAAAGAAAATCATACTCTCCTTCTTCCTTTCCCAAGATGGCTGAATTGATTGCTTACATTATCTTTTCCCCAATGTTAAATTCTACTTTAATTAATTCATGTATGCTTCCTACAAATTTAAATCTTCTCTGAGCTGCCTACCTATTGAAAGTCTCTTCTCGTAGTCGTACGCAGAGTATAATTGGAGAAAAATAAGGCTTTCTAAAATCTCTCCATAAAGGCTCGCTGTGTAGTAAATGTGCCCACCCGATTTATGTGTTTTTATGCTTCCCAAGAGCGATCAGACCAAGAAAAGATAAAAGTGACTGTCAGATTTGATTGAACTTTCGGATGCCTTATTTGAAATTAAAAGAATAAATTTATTTTTAAGGTAATTAAGAATAATAATGATATCTGCGCTCAAAAATGGTTATCAATCCTTCAATATAGCAAGATTTGTGATAAGAAAAAAGAGAGAAAGGGTTTAATTGTTATTAAAACCAAATATCCTAAATTATGATGGTATGGGGCAGTCATCTAATAGAAAACCAAAAGATTCTAACCTCAGAAGAGAATTTTTAGTTGGCTTCCGTCCTTCTCTGAGCATATGAGAGCAATGAATCATCCACTTTCTCGTTGTGAAGTATCATTGTATTTTCCTGCAAGTCTAGCAGAGTTTGAGGAGGTTTTGCTCTTACTTTGGCAGCTTTGGCCTTTCCGTCCACTTCTTCTGGTATCGAAGAGTGTAGTGATGTTGATAAAGACGAAAATGAGGTCAATCCGGCTGTCTGGGATGGAGCCAAGTCCTTTCCGCTGGGCCGCCTTGCTAGAGTACGCATTGGCAGGGTGCTTGCTTTCTCCTCTATCAGAAGTCGCATTTGAGCCTTCTGGTCCAACGAATCGGCCAACGCACCACGAGTTGCCACCGAGTGTAGATTCACCCGGGCTGGTGGTGATGACAACGAGTCGTCCACTTTAGCGACGCCCTCAACTTCGTCTGTCCGTCCAGCATGTTGTTGACTCTGTCGCAGCACCTTCATCATCATCATTCCAGTAGGCCAAGAAATCTGTTCAACTGGAAAAAGCTGGCCAGAACGAGGTGCTTCAGATTCGGCTCGGCTAGCGTGCTGCCGCAGATGCATCTCGTCCACCAGATGAACTAGTCGTGCAGCCATATTAGAATCTATATCAGGCGAGGACCCAGAAAAGCTGATGCCTCTAAAAAAAGAGATGGTGGAAGCAGAGGCTGTAGCACCGACTTCTGCAGTGTCCGAAAAAGAAGGAGACTTGTGACCACCTTCCGAGGCACAAGGCTCCGAACGTCCTTGTCGCAGCTGATCAACTAGATTGCCAAAGCTTTTCGGCAAGAAGGTGGCTGGATGCCGGTCCTGGCGTTCGTAGAAGAGCAAGTAGGCCGAAGGTGTGACCACCTCTTCAGGACGGACTTCCTGAAGACACGGGTACAAAATATATGCATGTCAGAAAAAAATAAAATCGCCATCTTCCCTGTGTTACCTCATTTTGGCTTAGACCTGATATATCTTACTGATTATTTTCACTTTCCAATATATATCCCCATGCACCCACAAATGCCGATATAGACAGCTGGCGATCACAAGATGTGGTTTTGTGCAAAAGCCACAATACATATACTTAGACATTCATATATGCTGGCATATTCAATTGAATCCTCCTTAAAAACAACTAACCGATGCATGCAGGAGCCAAACTAAGACCAAGACTCAGTTAATTGTAGATCTGTCCATTCAATCAGTATCAGAAAGCGTATATTTAAACGATGGACTGTGTGCATAGTTTTTGTGTAGCAAGGTCCTATACATGAGATTTCGGCTATTGGATAGGAAAAAGACACTCGCTTGACTGCAGTATTTTCACTTCAAGAAGACTTCGACCTCGCCACCCATTTAATGGGATTGGTAATAGGAGCTTGTGCTTAGTGACAAAAATTGATCATTCTGCAACTCTCATGTGAACATAAGTCGAGCACTGTAGCAAAGTGGTATTGCAATTAGTATTGCTTGCAAATTATTTTAAATGTCAATTTAGCGTTGTGATGAGATTAATAATATGGAGGAAGCAGAGACAGGTGAACTTCTTTAATTCATCGTGGGCACCCCAATTTAAACAATCG